ACAAATGTTAAGGGTCTTCCTCTAATTGTTTGCTTTTCTTTTAGTAAAGATTTTTCAGACTTGTTACATTCTATGATTAGGGTGCACAGTAGCTTTTCAGGTTTCAGACACAACCGGCCTTTGGATGACATTCTGGAGTCCATAATACTACAAATAGGCAGCAGCAGAACAATGAAATAGATTGGGCCAAAATGTATATTTAGCTGAATTAACATTTAATGAAATGGAACTAAGATGATTCCTCCCTATTTATTTAATTGTTTATTCATTAACACCGAAAATTGCAATTTGGCAGCAACATTTTGAGGAGCTTTGGATTGCCTTCTGCAATAGCATTCTAGATAGTTATCATGGATTTCTACTGTGTTTTCTATCTTAGAAAGAAAACACACAAAACACCAGAAAGTTCTAATTTATTCTGCTACTTTCGCTTTCTTATGTAAATTAACCACTAAATAGAAGACTAGCACAAATATCATCCTTGTTAAAAATTAAGAAGACCGGTAAAAAGTCAGCTATTTAATGAATGAATGAATAAATAAATAAATAAATAAACAAATAAATAAATGAATTGATATTGAGGGTATCCGCACTTCGGCTGTATTTGGTGCTGTTGCTGATGTTATTGTGATTTTGTAGTGTTACAATGGCAACACTACAAAAACAAGTGTTGAAAAAAGTGACTTATGACCATTTTTCGCACTTATAATCATTGCAGCATCCCCATGGTCACATGATTTACATTCAGATGCTTGACAACAGACTCATTTGTGACAGTTGCAGTGTCCCAGGGTCACGTGATCACTTTTTGCAGCCTTCTGACGAGCAAAGTCAATGGGGAAGCCAGATTCACTTAACAACTGTGTTACTAATTTAACAACTGCAGTGATTCGCTTAACAAATGTGGCAAGAAATTCATAACATGGGACAAATTTCTCATTTAGCAACATAAATGTTGGGCTCAATTGTGGTTGCAAGTTGAGGACGGGTACAGACGGGTGTCAAACTTGCGACATGTTGTCATCAAGTGTCGTATTGCAACTTTCCCCCCTTCGCTAAACCAGAGATGGGCACGGCCAGCACGTGACGCATCCAACCCACGAGTTTGACACCCCTGCTGTACACTGTTTTTTAAGCATTATATGGTGTGTGTGTTTTTTTTTTACTGAAATAGTAGGGAGGCACATACATTAATAAATAAAACCACATCTTTCCAGAAAGGCAGAATACCCTTAAGAATGATTGCACTTTATTCTTTGGAAAGAAGCAGAATTACAGTTACCTCAAAAGTCCTGGTAGAAGAAAGATGAAAAAATTTAGTGAGTAAACTAAAGAAGACAAGATATAAATATACATATAAATACATACTGTGGTATCATATAAAATGGGACTAAAAAAAGTGACAGTTCCTGAGAAAATGCTGAATGTGGAAGGGCGCCTAGATTCTGAATATAGACGTTTTATATTTCCATGTAGACATATCTACTTACTGGCTGATTTGTTTCTCTTTTGGTACTCTATACCAAGGGTCCCCAACCTCCGGGCCGTGCCCACTACTGGGCCTTGAACCTTTCAGAACTAGGCCATGGAAGTGGTGGGTGATCACACATGTATGCATCCCCATTTGCATGAGCAGCAGGCAAATATGGGTGCACATGCTTCATTTACATGAGCGATGGCTCATGCAAATGGAGCTGGGCATGCACATGTGCTTGTCCACTGTGCGTGTGGGTGCGCTTGTCTGCCATTCACACGGAACCATCCCCTCTCATCTCCCCCCCCCCGATCTGCAAAGCCAAAAAGGTTGGGGAACTCTTCTGTACACTGTTGGACTACCAAAGGTTTACAAATACAATCAACCCCCCCAATAACTATAATAAAGTATTCAACACCTCCCCCACCCAGTGTCTGTTAACCAGCAGGAACTTCATGGTTAAAATGACAGATTAAAAGCTCTATGAAACAGCTGTGGCTTCACTGCCTGCCTAAATATCATCAGGGAGGATGCCATCTGGATGTCTGAGAATAGGCTTTTCTACTGGGAGGCAGCCATAATAAAATAGCCTTGTCTTCTGGTTCACATCCCTACTCAGGAGGAACAGACAAGATGGATCAGTTTTACCTGGAGAAGATGGTTCTGTATTACTAGGATAATACAGGTAGTCCTTAATTTACAAGCCCAATTGGGCCTGGAATTCCAGTCACTAAGCAATCGTAAAGCACAATTTCACATGATTAGTGATGACAAGCCTGGCAATCTCAGTTACCATAGTAACTCCAGATGCATAGGTCATTAAGGGGAAAGCAAAGGGAATTCCAGATAAGGAGGGAAGGGTGCTGTCCTGGAAGGCCCAGCACAGCTGTGCAGAAGTTGGGGATTGCTACAATGTGATGCAAGGTCGGGGAGGCTGGATAAAGAAGATGTGGGATATGTGTATGAGTACAGGGAGACTGAGGAAAGAATACACTGTGTCCCAGGCTTCTTGGCACATTGTGGCTCTTGGGCTGCAAGAAGCCCTGAGCCACAGCATGAAGCCATGCCCTTCTCACCCCCACCTCAACCCCGGAAACGTCACCCTCCATCCTAATCCAGCAGCGTGGTGCAAATCTGCTATGCCTAGGAAGCTCCAGCAGCATGGTTCAAAATCGAAGCACATCAGGAAGCCCCAGCAACGTGGGGCTTCTTGATGCGCCGTGGCTCTGAGGCTGCAAGAATTCCCTGAGTTGCAGTACAGTGTGAAGCCCAGTCCCAACTTGGCCCAGCAGTGCAGCAGTGCTGGGGTAGCAACAAGACCTACCCCAGGAAGCTTCAGCCCACTACACCACCCACTACAGGGCAGCTGTAGTTGCTCTTGATATCATCCATCCACTCCAAAACCCTGGTCACTCTGCATTCTGCACTACAGCTGACTGTTACCGTCTTCTTGCTCCTGCTGCTGACAAGGAGTACTTGGTTCTTTGTGAGACAACCGCTGACCTAGAAGACAACGGGTCTTGCAATTAAACCACTGTGTGCAAGAAAAACAACCTGGAGAAGAAAGCCTTGTGCATGCAACAACAGCCTCGTGAAGGACCAGGCCAAGCCTTCTTAATCAACAGTGGGAGAAAGAACATGGCAAAGCTTCTAAGTTTTTGTTAGAGAGACCCATAGAGTCTACAATGATGTAAGGGAGGTGCAGCGAGGGTGCACGGGGTGCGAGGGAAGTACAGCAAGGACCAGGGAAGTTGCTGGGAGTACAGGGGTGCGTGAGTGGCACAGAGTGGGTTGGAGAGGGTACAAGTCTGACGTCAACGATGGTGTGCAGGGGTGTGAGGGGACATGAGAGGTAGTTTGGGAAGGCTACATGAGGGTGCAAGGGGTTGTGTGAGGGGGGAGGGTGCATAAGGTTACATGAAGATGCACTGGAGACGCCCAGGAAGGTTGGGAAGGTGTGCAAGGGTGCACTGTATTGTGAGGAAGGTGCAGCAAGGATAGGGGATGGTGTGCAAAGATGAGGGGGTTGTCAGAGTGTGAGGGAGTGTAGGCAAGGGTTGGGGGAGGTTGAAGGGAATGTGTGAGGATGTAAGAAAGGTACGGTAAGGGTTGGGCAGGATACAGAGGCATTTGAGTGGGTGTGGAAGAGGTATAAAAGAAAAAGTGAAAAGCTTGAGGTGAAGGGAAAAGCAGAACAAGACAGATTGCATACTTAAATGATTCTCAGAGATTCTCAGAAAGATGAGGTATTTAAAGAACAAAAGGTACTATATAAAATAATGTGTGGTCATGATGGGACCGAGGAAGGAATGAATGAACAAGAATCTGTACAGTTGAATTAATAATTCAGTACAAGTAATATACTCAGTTTGAGGTATCACTCCTTTCTGTTTGAATACCATTAGAAGGAAAAATTATATTTTAAAATTATAATTATAAGTTATAAATTTATAAATAATTTATAATTTATATATAAATTATAAATAATTATTTTAAATTATCTAGGTGGCTTTTAAAAAATGTTCATCGCAGTTTGTCTGTGACCAGTGGCTTATAATTTATTACTATGATATTATTTGTAAAACAAACCAGCAAACAAGCAAAAAAAAAACACCCGTTCTGAGAATGCCAGTTTTTTTCAAATGAATTTAAAATGCCATTTTGTATGCCATAAATCACAAAATGCTGCTTTTTTGTGAGTTCTGTGCATCTCACGGTTTCCTGTGAATATTCAGAGCACTGCCAGAATGTTCTAGAGCTAAGTGTGTTGGCAGGATTTAATGCTGTCACTTCTGCTTTAATCCAGTGGAGACACCCTCCACCCCCATCATCACAATGAATTGCAAGAGGTATTGTGAATGCTATTAAGATAGCCAGTGAATTGTTTTGGCTTCCTGAGGTTTTCCAAGCTCGTTCTGCCTTAGTAAAGACTATTTCCTTAGCGCTTGCCAAAGTCATTTCACTGCCTGACAACAGTAGGGGTGCCAACTGATTGTAATCTTCCACCTTTGTCAGAAATTATTATTAAACATTATTAATGTTTAGATGCCAGGCTTGTTTTGATTCTCTGGGGCTTTAGATCCCATCTTTAAAGCACATATTTGTATGTGTGGTGTTGGTAGGGTATAACTAGCTCTTTCATATGCTTTTCACAAGGTGAAGTGAATTTTTAGGAGATAATAAAAATTGAATCTTGTCTCCTAAAAAGGAGTTAAAAGCTGATTTCCTTCAGTGTATTTGTGGCTGTTTCAAGTGATCGATGTCTGAAATGAATGACAAAATGGTATGCTTTTTAAAGTGTTGTAATTATACCACGGAATGTACATGCACACGGTGAATTTAGAGCAATAAATTCCCTGTTGCGTGGGAAAATGACTTTCAAGCTTTTATATTTCAGATTAGCATTTGCCATCTTTATGATAGAATGTAAGAAAAACAAGTCACTCATAGGGAGCCATGTCATTTCAGTTGTGACCATGAAATTTAATAATTCACAATTACAATCAAATATGTTTTTTAATTTCAGGCATATTCAGTTTATGATGAAGAAATTGGTTATTGTCAGGGTCATTCCTTTCTTGCTGCTGTTCTTCTGCTGCATGTGAGTACACTACAAAAAGAAACACTGTTGTTTAATCAGACAAGCAGGTGAAATGTTTGTTTCCACCTTTTAAATTTCTATTTGTACATTTCCCTACCTATTTAATCTCATCTTGGCACTTACAAGAGTAAGTGGATGTTCCTACTCTTCGAAATTCAGGGAAATTTAGTCCTTGGAGTAGATGTTAAAGACATTTTTTCTTTTCAGCCATTATGATAAACTTTTAGCTAGGCTTTTGGTGTATTTGTGTCAAAGAAGGAAGCTTTCTATCTGTTAAGGCAGGAGTGACTTTTGTTTGGTTGTTCATAAGACTTCCGTTCATTTCTTTTATGTGAGGTTGTTTGCTTCTTTAAATGTGAAAGTAGATAATCTTGCCTTGACTTGAAATCTGTAGATTGGCCCCAGATAAGAAAATTGCCAGATCACTATGGAACAGACTTTCAACTGGCCCTTGAGAAGAGAGGATTAAGCATATTATACACAATATATGCCTCTCAAAGCAAAGGGATTTTTTGAAATTCAAACATAGTTGCAAACCATAGGGGAAAAAAAGATGGATTGCTCTTTGCTAAATTACAAATTTCTAAATCACTGTATTTTTATACACAATTAGCAACATACTATTAAAAATAGTTTTGATTAGTGATTGACTAGTCTATTACTTAGGAGATAAGTTTTATTTTGTTCTATCCTTAAATATTAGAGATTTTTTTTTCCTTTTTAGCACTTCACTTTTGCAAAAAAGCACATTTATAAGAATGCACTGAATATATGGAAGAGCTGTTATTCTAAATTCTGAAAATTCATATCCTCCTGAGAAATTCCAATCAGTTCCACAATAATCAGCAGGTACAAAATCCTGACTGAAAGCTACAGTCAGGTCCAGAAATATTGGGACATCGACACAATTCTAACATCTTTGGCTCTATACACCACCACAATGGAGTTGGAATGAAACAAACACAATGTGAGTTAACTACAGACTGTCAGCTTTAATTTGAGGGTATGTACATCCAACTCAGGTGAACGGTGTAGGACTTACAGCAGTTTGCATATGTGCCTCCCACTTGTTAAGGGACCAAAAGTAATGGGACAGAATAATACTCATAAATCAAACTTTCCCTTCTTAATACTTGGTTGCAAATCCTTTGCAGTCAATCACAGCCTGAAGTCTGGAACGCATAGACATCACCAAACGCTGGGTTTCATCCCTGGTGATGCTCTGCCAGGCCTCTACTGCAACTGTCTTCAGTTCCTGCTTGTTCTTGGGGCATTTTCCCTTCAGTTTTGTCTTCAGCAAGTGAAATGCATGCTCAATGGGATTCAGGTCAGGTGATTGACTTGGCCATTGCATAACATTCCACTTCTGTCCCTTCAAAAACTCTTTGGTTGCTTTTGCAGTATGCTTTGGGTCATTGTCCATCTGCACTGTGAAGCGCCGTCCAATGAGTTCTGCAGCATTTGGCTGAATGTGAGCAGATAATATTGCCCGAAACACTTCAGAATTCATCCTGCTGCTTTTGTCAGCAGTCACATCATCAATAAATACAAGAGAACCAGTTCCATTGGCAGCCATACATGCCCACGCCATGACACTACCACCACCATGCTTCACTGATGAGGTAGTATGCTTAGGATCATGAGCAATTCCTTTCCTTCTCCATACTCTTCTCTTCCCATCACTCTGGTACAAGTTGATCTTGGTCTCATCTGTCCATAGGAACTTGTTCCAGAACTGTGAAGGCTTTGTTAGATGTTGTTTGGCAAACTCTAATCTGGCCTTCCTGTTTTTGAGGCTCACCAATGGTTTACATCTTGTGGTGAACCCTCTATTTATTCTGGTGAAGTCTTCTCTTGATTGTTGACTTTGACACACTTACACCTACCTCCTGGAGAGTGTTCTTGATCTGGCCAACTGTTGTGAAGGGTGTTTTCTTCACCAGGGAAAGAATTATTCGGTCATCCACCACACTTGTTTTCCGTGGTCTCCCAGGTCTTTTGGTGTTGCTGAGCTCACCGGTGCATTCCTTCTTTTTGAGAATGTTTCAAACAGTTGTTTTGGCCATGCCTAATGTTCTTGCTAGCTCTCTGATGGGTTTGTTTTGTTTCTTCAGCCTAATGATGGCTTGCTTCACTGATAGTGACAGCTCTTTGGATCTCACCTTGAGAGTAGACAGCAACAGATTCCAAATGCAAATAGCACACTTGAAATGAATTCTGGGCCTTTTATCTGCACATTGTAATTGGGGTAATGAGGGAATATCACACACCTGGCCATGGAACAGCTGAGAAGCCAATTGTCCCATTACTTTTGGTCCCTTAACAAGTGGGAGGCACATATACAAACTGCTGTAAATCCTACATCGTTCACCTGAGTTGGATGTACATACCCTCAAATTAAAGCTGACAGTCTGCAGTTAACGCACATTGTGTTTTTTTCATTCCAACTCCATTGTGGTGGTGTATAGAGCCAAAGATGCTAGAATTGTGTCGATGTCCCAATATTTCTGGACCTGACTGTATTTGCTATCTTTTTGCGTACTCAAAGCATAAACCCATCTACAGAAGGATTCTTGGAGGTCACTTTATACTTATGGTCTCCATGCAGATGCCTGAAGAACAAGCCTTCTGTATCCTAGTGAAGATCATGTATGACTATGGCCTGCGGGAGCTGTATAAAAACAATTTGGAAGGTTTGCGGAGAAAATTTTATCAGCTGGAGAAACTTATGCAGGTATTACCTGGAATTTTCCTTTGTTTTAGAAAAAGAATATGCAAAAAAAAAAAGGGGGGGGAATAATGAACAGATCCTACCATAGGTATGCTTAACTGTCCATAAAAATTGAGGTATTGATAGTTAATGTGCAACCTGTATGTGTGTGTTTGGGTATACATACATAACATACATGAAACACATATGATCTTCATATTTAGTACCAAAGTGTTTATTCTACAAATATTTCCTAACATTGGCTTAATATAGTAGAAATATAGTAGAAATATAAGCATATACTTCATAAGCAGAAGTATAAGAAAACAATGCATGTTAATTTAGATTCTGATGATGCATTTAACGTCTTACAGAAGAAAAGTTGTATTCATCTTCGTCTTTCACTTTTCTCCCTAGGAGCAGCTGCCTGATTTATATAACCATTTTGTGGAACAGAATCTTGAAGCTCATATGTATGCCTCCCAGTGGTTTCTCACCCTCTTCACTGCCAAGTTTCCACTTTGTATGGTCTTCCACATAATTGATTTACTACTTTGTGAGGTAAAATTACCTTCTATCCATAAAAAAGCTTGCTTTGCATGAAATGAATTGTCATTTTTCTTGGGCTTATAGTTACAAGGATGACTGCTTCTTTTATTAGATGGAGGTGTACTGCCACTTGCACATCATTCTTTTATCCTGTTTTAGTGTGAGAGGTTCTTCCACCAATATTTCTTATCATCTTTATTTTTAAACTGTATTTGAGTAAATCTTTCTGATGTCCCTGTTTAGACAATGGAATGATTCATAGAACTCAAGGCTTTCACTTATTATAAAAATGGTTTCAGTTGTCTGAAATAAACTCCTCATTGTTTAGAAGATAGTTAAAACTACAAAGGTTGATTTAAAAAAAATATCACAAAAGGAATGAGTCAGAGCAAGTCTTGCACTTGCACATGTTGCAATTGCAGTTGCCTATCCTAACTGCCTATCCTAGCTGGTTGGAAGGAAAGTTTTACCTTAACTTCTGGTTACTGTCAATGCTTTCTTTGTAATTTAGCAAATGATAATTCATGAACAGTACATGGCATGAACCATGCATCCAGTTTATAATTCTGATTTGTTTCAACAAGCCAATAGATAAGGTTCTGCTAAATTTAGAGTTAGTACAAAACTAGTCTCATTTCCAGTAGCATTCAACACAGAATAAATAATTTAGTCTAGCCTGCTTTGATTACTCATCTGATCTCCTTAATGTAGCCTGCTTTGATTAATTAGTTGGACTGATTCACACTCATAAAGTTCCCATAGTGATTTTTTTGTTTTTTGCTTTATGTGATGTAAAACTATGCCTTAATGTGCAAACTAGGCCACTATTGCCTGTTCAACAAATCCTGATTTTACAAAAATCCAGGCATAATGTTGTTTTAAATGCATCCTGTACAGGTATTTGAAGAATTTTAGCTTTAAAATAACAAACAGGATTCATCAGATGCAGGAATGGGAAAGGGAAAGAGGAAGAATTACAGGTGGTCCTTGACATACAACAGTTCACTTAGTGACCATTCGAAGTTACAACAGCACTGAAAAATGTGACTTATGACCATTTTTCACACTTATGACCATTGTGGCATCCCCTTGGTCACATGATTTACATTCAGATGCTTTTTTTTTTTTTTTTAATTTGATTTATATGTCGCCCTTCTCTGGAGACTCAGGGTGGCTTACAATGCATTAAGCAATAGCCTTCATACTTTTGTATATTTATACAAAGTCAGCTTATTGCCCCCACAAACTGGGTCCTCAATTTACCTACTTTAGAAAGGATGGAAGGCTGAGTCAACTTTGAGCCTGGTGAGAGTCGAACTTACAGTAATTGCAGACAGCTGGTGTTAATCACAATGCTATCAGTCTGCTGAGCCACCAGGCCCTGATGCTTGACAACTGACTCATATTTATGACTGTTGCAGTGTCTCGGGGTCACCTTTTATAACTTTCTGACAAGCAAAGTCAATGGGGAAACCAGATTTACTTAACAATTGTGTTACTAATTTAACAATTGCAGTGATTCATGTAAAAAATGAGGCAAGAAAAGTCATAAAATGAGCAAAACTCACTTAACAAATTTTTCACTTAGCAACAGAAATGTTGGGCTCAATTGTGGCTGTAAGTTGAGGACTACCTGTATTTTGCATGATTATAGCGAGTGTAGAACAGCTCTGTTTAAGATTAGCATGTGAGTATCATAAATATTAGAATTCTTTATTGGCCAAGTGTGATTAGACACACAAGGAATTTGTCTTTGGTGCATATGCTCTCAGTGTACATAAAAGGAAAAAAAACACATTCATCAAGAATCATAAGATACAGCACTTAGTGATAATCATAGGTTACTAATAAGCAATTAAATCATACTAGGAAACAAATAAAACAATATAAATCATAAAGATACAAGCAACATGGTTATAGTCATAAGTGGAAGGAGATAGGTAATAAGGATGAGAAGAATAATAGTAATACGGTCTTAGTAATAATTTGACAATGTTGTGGGAATTAGTTGTTTAGCAGAGTGATGGCATTTGGGGAAAAACTGTCCTTGTGTCTACTTGTTCTGGTGTGCAATGCCCTATAGTATTGTTTTGAGGGTAGAAGTTGAACAATTTATGTCTAGAATGTGAGGAGTCTGTGGATATTTTCACAGCCCTTTTTTTGACTGGTGCAGTATAAAGGTCCTCAATGGAAGGCAGGTTGGTAGCAATTGTTTTTTCTACAGTTCTGATTATCTGTTGAAATCTGTGTCTGTCTTGTTTGGTTGCAGAGCCAAACCAGACAGTTATAGAGGTGCAGATGACAGACTTAATAATTCCTCTGTAGAACTGTATCAGCAGCTCCTTGGGGAGTTTCTGAGTTGACGCAGAAAGAACATTCTTCGTTGAGCTTTTTTAATGACATTTTTAATGTTAGGTGTCCATTTTAAGTCTGTTGATACTGTGTTGTCTAGTTTTGTAAGAAGTGGTAGTATAGGAGGGTTTCTCCTAAAATCTACCATCATTTCTACGGTTTTGAGTGTGTTTAGTTCAAGATTGTTCCAGTTGCACCACAAGGCTAGTTGTTCAACCTCCTGTCTGTATGCAGATCTGTCATTGTCTTGAATGAGACCAATAACTGTTGTATCATCTGCAAACTTCAGTACTTTAACAGATGGATCTTTTGAGATGCAGTCATTGGTGTATAGAGAGAAGAGAAATGGAGAGAGCACACAGCCCTGGGGGTCTCCTGTGCTACTTGTATAGGTATCTGATGTGATTCTGCCTAGCTTCACCTGCTGCTTCCTGTCTTTTAGGAAGTTTATGATCCATTTACAGGTGTGATCAGGTACAGCTAGCTGATTTAGTTTAGTTAGAAGAATATCTGGAATGATGGTATTGAATGCTGAGCTGAAGTATACAAAGCGGACCCTTGCATAGGTCTTTGGAGATTCAAGATGTCGTGGGATGTAGTGCAGAGTCATATTAACAGCATCATCTGTCGATCTATTTGCTCGGTAGGCAAATTGCAAGGGGTCTAACAGCGGATCCGTGATGGTTTTCAGGTGGGCTAGCACTAGCCTTTCAAAGGTTTTCATAACTACAGATGTTAGAGCAACCAGTCTGAAGTCATTCAGTTCCTTGATGGAGGGTTTCTTCGGCACTAGGATGATAGTAGAGCATTTGAAGGAAGAAGGAACATAGCACATCTGTAGTGATTTATTAAAGATGCAGGTGAAGATGGGGGGCAGTTGGTCAGAATGAGCTTTTAAGCAAGAAGGAGTTATCTTGTCTGGGCCTGGTGCTTTTCCTGGCTTTTGTCTGTGAAGTTGACCTTGCGCCTCATTTTCTGTAATCACCAGAGGCTATTAAAAAGAACACTGTAAATTCTTATGGGAAAGAGAAATAAGCTGATCATTAAACAATAGGTTCTGTGCCTTTCTTTAAGTCATTGCTTTCCTTCTTTTATATTTGACTATTGTTTTTGTGAGGTTCTGAAGTGATTGTTCCAATTTTGTTCAGCATTCATTTTTATTACTTTTACAGTTCTGACCTCTAGTGGATGAAATGCAATTTCCTTAGGATTGTTACCAAACATTATTTTAAAACCTATTTATAGGATTGTTTAATAATTTCATTCTGTACTATGCTAGCAACATTTGTAAATTTTAATGGATGTACAAATCACAAGCTAAATCACACAGGATACCAAGATTCTTGTGCTTGCTTTTCTACTTGCTTCCTGCAGTTGGAAAACTTAATAACTTTATTTATTTTTAAAAACAAAAAAATTAAATGATAAACAGACAAAAAAGGATTAAGGCAAAAATTTTGGGGTATAATATGCAATTAAATCAATGGAAGTATATGTGGAAGGGCTGAAATTTATCTCTCTGAAATATATTATTGAATTATAATCAGTGTAAATTTCATCCCTTTCTTCCATGTATAAAATAAAAATATTTTATGAAACTTTCTTTTATTTTTGATAACAGTATCAAGGCTTTTATATGCACAAAGATGGAAGACGTAGAAATACCTACAATGGAAGAATGATGAAATTGATGGAATCAGCAGAGATGGCAAAATTGATAGCTTTGATTAAAAAAAAGATGTTGGCCAATTTTATTTTTACTTAGAAAACACTTGGATTTTTTTTCAAGAAATGATTAATCAATCAATAATATTTATTCAGTCAGTGACAGCAAACTTTTAAAGAACAAAACAATTTGCAAGAAATGAAGTGATGGTTTTAGGATTTGATTATTAATATTATATGGGATTATAGAAATAATGTAGATAAATGTTAACCTTAGAGGAAGAGTTTGATATACCGTATTTTCCGGCATATAAGACGACTGGGCGTATAAGACGACCCCTGAATTTTCTTGTTAAAATATAGGGTTTGGGCTATACTCACCGTATAAGACTACCCCTCTTCCAACGCACACCAAATAAAAATTAAAAAAACATCAACTGGCTCACCCACAGTGTAAAAGCAGCTGTGCTAGACCCAAAATGGCCCCTGAAACAAGCAGGAACTTCACACAGCCACAAAAAACCCAACTTTCACACTTTACACACACAAAATTCCACATACAGCTTTGTGAGATTTTGTGTGTTTATGTAGTTAGAGTGAAACACTACAAAAACACACTAAATCTCACAAAGCTGCATAAATATTATTTTATTTTATTTTTATTTTTATATGAAAGCTAAATTTAAAACTTCCTAAACTTTAAATGGCTAGGTCTAAAAAAGAACAACTAAAAAAACCCCCAATTAACTATTTTTTTTAAAGATCCCAAAGGGGAAAAAAACTTACCCAATAGAACAGGGGTCTCCAACCTTGGCAACTTTAAGACTTGTAGACTTCAACTCCCAGAATTCCTCAGCTAGCTTTGTTTTGCTGGGTGAGGAATTCTGGCAGTTGAAGTCCACAACTCCCTGCCTGCTTGATTGCAGGCAGGGAGTTGCTTGCTGATGGAATGGATTCAGGCAAGCGAAGCAAGGCAAGCAGCTAAGGCAGTGGTTCTCAACCTTCCTAATGCCGCGACCCTTTAATACAGTTCCTCATGTTGTGGTGACCCCCAACGATAAAGTTATTCCTAAAACCATCAAAAATATGTGTTTTCCGATGGTCTTAGGCCAGGGGTCCCCAACCTTTTGGACCTCAGGGACCACCAACTTCATAATTTTAAATTTCACGGTTCAGACAATAATGATTTTACCCAGCCAACAAAGCTTCCTGTCAATGTTGTTGGCGCTCCCGTAGCATCATCAGTCAGTGCCAGCAACTCAGATTCGGGAAGCTGTGCCGATCTCGTCAAGGCTGCATGCCGCTCAATGCTGGACCCAGCTGGTTGCTGAGCGGAGCTTCCTCCAGGCATCCAGGGGGATATTACCGACGCTCCGACTCCCCCAGACAGGTGGGGCTCACCATCACTGTGGGTCACCTGGGGAAGTCGGAGCATCGGTAATATCCCCCTGGATGCCTGGGACGGCGGGGGAAGCTCCGCGTAGCAACCAGATGGGTCGAGCATTCAGCGGCATGCAGCCTTGACGAGATCGGCACAGCTTCCCCTCAATGTTGTCGGCGCTCCCGTAGCGTCATCGGTCAGCGCCAGCAACTCAGATTCGGGTACCTGGCGTATAAGACGACCCCCGACTTTTGAGATGATTTTCCTGTGTTAAAAAGTCGTCTTATACGCCGGAAAATACGGTACTCTTTTATTCATATTGGTACCAAAAATATCAGAAGTCATTCTTTTTTCTTTTTCTTTTATACAGGCACTTCTGTCTTCTCTCTTTCTTAATCTTTCTCTTTCTCTTTTCTTATCTGTTTATGCTTTTAATTTTTTGCTTTTGAAAAGCAATTGGAAAACTTCTAATTACCGCTAATGCTAAACCACAGATCATAGTCCTGGGTTTTGCCAAAATTCTAATTTAAGAATTCAGATGTAATAGAAAACAAGGTATCACCATTAACTATATAGTATTCTATACATAATGTATTAGGAGAGGAGAAATGTGTGATCTTAATTCTTAGATCTATAAATACAGGTAATATTAAACAATATTATATTCCTACTTTTTCATTTTTACCTTGTTAGTTTTATTATATTGTTTAGATCTTTTACTAATTTTCCTAATAAAAATAATGTTTAATTCTAATTTGTTATTTTTTCAGTGTATAAATCCTTTAAAATATTGCTTTTTGTATGTTTATCAATAAAAACTTTGACACAACTCTAGTATTATTAGTATTGTTTACATAGTTAAATCCCTTGCAAACTGGATTAATACTATTTTTTGTTTCTTTCTTCTCTACACTGCAGGGTCTGAATGTTATCTTTAATGTAGCCCTGGCTCTCTTAAAGGTAAGATAATTTTGTAAAATTCTTATCTTTCTGTATTCACTCACTTCAGCAAATTCACAGAAGTACCTTGGTGGCATAAATGTTACTATATTGCCTATATGCACATAATTTTGTTTACTATTTTGATTAATTGGCTTCAGGAAAATGTAATAGAAAAGAGAATGTACTCTCATCTAATTTATTTTAAAAAATCCCTTATTAGTGACTGTGGAGCAATTTTTGTAATTCTTTTAATTTTTAATTCCAAAAAACTGCAGTAAACCATTATTTTGTTAGACTCTTTCTTAATATGAACACAATTTGGAAGCAAAAGGTCCAAATGCTCATTATCCATGTTACCTTTGATGTAGACTACAGTAACGTGCTCTACATGTGGTTGCTTTTGAAGACAGTTCAGAAGCTTCAACTGATCCAGAATGCAGTTGTTAACTGGGAGTAGCATATTCAGCTGTATTTTATTAGTTGATATTTAATCACTGGTTTTTTTCCAGTTCTAATTCAACTTAAAAACTATACCCAAGTAGGTATTGAATCATCTTTTCCTATGTTCCTTATAAACCTTTAGGGATGGTACACTGGGAATCCCCATCCTGCAAGAAATGAATGGGATGGGGCTCACTAAAGCACCTTCTAATTGGAGTTCTAACTCTTTCAAACACCCTGTCTCCTAAAATAAAGATATCTTCAATCTTCTGGCCTTCAAAAAAGGCACTGAAGAGGGTGTATAATATAAAAATTGCTTGAGTTAATTGAGTTGGTGGGATTTTTGTTTTTATTGGCTTGTTGTTCCTTGATAAATCTCCTTGAGACTTTTGAGAAAATGGACCTTTGAGAAAATGGACAGGATGTAAATAATTGTAAAAATACAAGCAAATAAATGAATCTGTTGGTCTGACAATATTCATAATTATGAGAACCCATTGCAAGGTGATTTCTACATAAGAATGTTTCTTTGACTGATTTCAAAGTTATATCCTGCCTTGGTTAACTATTCTATATTTAGCTGTAGTATTCCAAAAATACCGTATTTTTCAGACTCTCCGGACTATAAGACGCACCTAGCTTTTGGGGAGGAAAACAATAAAAAAAGGATGCACGGAGGCTGAAAACGGGACCTGGGGAGGCCAAAAACGGGATGCGTGGAGGCCAAAAATGAGGCACGCGGAGGCCAAAAACAGGATGCACGGAGGTGGCAATAGGTGGCAGTGGTGATCGATGGCGGCGATGGCGATGGGTGGCAGTGATTCTCATAGCCTTGAACAGCTGATCAGCAGTATTCCGGGAGGCCGATCCAATTGCCAATCAGCTGCTAGTGCTAAATCAGGCTGTGCTGAAGCTGACCAGGCTGTTTGCTGCAAGGAGGCAAATTGCTGGGAGGCAGAGGCCGTGGAGGCCAGTGGGTCGGCAGGGCTTTGGCAACATTCACTCTATAAGACACACAGACATTTCCACCCACTTTGGTGGGGGGGGAGTGTGTCTTATAGACCGAAAAATACGGTAGTTATGTAGCAGGGACATTTTTTTGGCTCTACATTTCTGTTGATCCAGCTGAAAATGTTAAAATGCCATTGGGGCATACTGGGATTCTCTCCTCTGTTAAGAAACTTCTATTATCTTTGAAGATGAGCATTGCACTTCATAGTTAAGAAATACTGGCAATGTAGAACAAAGAAATATTTAGTGATATTCTGTCATTAATGCTGGATGGGTAGTGCTTCTCCAATCAGAGATGTGTTTCGGGGGCTCTTGAACTTGCAGCTCCTGCATGAAAATCAGTTTGCAGCTGTGGCTAGGAAGGTCTTTGAGAGATAAGAAGATAGCTTATCTTGTGTACCAGTGTGCCCATATCCTAGACTATAAGCACTGCTTATAGTCACTTAGATTTTAATCACCTTCCAATTGGGCTATTGACCTATGCTGTTCATTAGGCTGCCTTTGAAAAGCATTTGGAAACTTCTGCTGGCCCATAATGGAATGGCATAAGCAGTATTGGGTACTTCCTGGTATGCATATGTAACACCGCTGCTATTTGAACTGCATTGGTTTCCAGTAGGCTTCTGGCTGTCCTTCAAGGTGCTGGATGTCACCTTTAAAGCCTTATATGACATGAAGCCAGAATATTTGCTAGACTGTCTCTCCCAGTGCCTTTTGCCCATCCTATTAGATCAGGCAAAGTGTGCAAGCTCTAAGTCTCCCTGCTGAAGCAGTGTCACCTGTGGATCCTTGGAAGCTTGTCAATCTATCTGTCTTTTTATGGAACAGTTTCCCCACTAAGATATGGACAGTCTCTATCTTTCTGATCTTCTGGAATGTTGTGATGATCTGGTTATTCCTCCAGGCAATGGGACTGAAATTTTAATGGAATTGTGGGTGTGGATATGCCTGATGGATTGATGTTAAGATTTTGTCAGAGTCCTCCTATCCCGTTCATATTGGAGGCACTGTTTAAGGCACTTCCGGGTTGGAAGGATTAGCTGATGATATCACTGTTGCACAGGGGATGCCTGTGGGGGCTCCTTTCATGTCCCCGTCAAGGAGCTGGAGTGAATGACAAGAGCTCACCCTGCCATGCAACAGCACTCGGGTCTTGAATGAGGACTTGCTAACCCCCAATCCAGCATCCTAACCACGTGCCCCACTGCGCTTCAAGTCCTTAAGTTTCCTTTTAAGTGTTTGTGAATTTTAAGTTTCCTTTTAGGTGTTTGTGAATTTTAGCTTTTGTTCTTTATTTCTCTCTGCCATCCAGAGTACCTTTGGTAGATGAGTGGCTAAATATATTTGTTCAATAAATTAATATATGAATGAACAAATAAATAATTTTGTTTCTGGTAATTGGCACCAGCTGAACATGGTTGGCCATAAACAAATTGCAGTTTTTTTTCCGACTATAACTGACTATAACTGATTATAACAATCTACAAAGCTTCCTCTTTACCTGTTATGGAAAGAATTTAAATTTCTTGGCACAACTTGGAACAACAAATTGTGCTATTGTGCTACAATGCTATTTTAAAAGTAGCAAATATGTGACTTGCTAATGGTGTGCAAGTGATAGAAATATCTAGCAAGTGATAGAATGTGTACAATAACGTAGTATCTATCCTGCTTGTATAATTGTCATCCTTTCTTGAATATGTCTCAAGATTTCTTCACTTGCACTGCTGTGAATTTGTGCCTGCCCAAAATCTCTTGTCTGAAGCTCCTTAACAGGAAAGTTTACACACTGTGCATTCCCTTTAGCAAGTTCTTTGTTCTTTGTCACCTTCCACAGCTGTAGTACTTTAGGAACACAGCTAAAGTATTTTCTACTCTTCTGTTTGTTATTCTTCTTCTTTGTTTAAATGTTGTGCTTTGTTTGTTTGTTTGTTTGTTTATTTATTTATTTATTTATTTATTGGTTCGATTTATATGCCGCCCTTTTCTGGAGACTCAGGGCGGCTTACAATGCGTTTCTTGCTTATCAACTCAATTATTCTTTTCATTTTGCATTTTTATTTCTCATAATAGTCTTTTTGCTTTCAGTTGGGCATTTTTTGCCCCCAGGCTTGCTGCTATAAATATTAATAGCAGCATTAATTCTTCACTTAAATAGATTGATTATAGTAAGTCTTCATTTTGAAAAAATGCTCAGAACAACAGATACTGCCAAGCCTTTTCACACAATTGCTGTGATGACATCCAGTACAATTTTTCTTTGGTAGTAAGGCATGATGATGGTATGATCATGAGCCCATCATTTAGGATCAGTTTGAATAAGATGACCTTCATTCCCATTCTTCTCTGTGCTACTGATTCCATGACCCAAGTGAGTATGTGTAGATATCTTGAAGCATTATCTTTTTATTGCCATAGGAAACATCTTGAGGTTAATTCATAAAACACTTTATTATGGCCAAAGCCTATATACTATATACAGTTAAAAATATTATTAAGGTACAGAAGCATAAAGCTATTTTATGAATGACAAAGCATAATTACAAGAATTTTCCAGAAAGCTCTCCAGATTCCTAATAAACTGGAAGATCAATTGAGTAGGTCACAATTTAAGTATGTAGCCGTTTCAAGCAAGCTCATAAGGAGCTCACAAAACGTAATATTTATTTCACCCTTTACTCTTATATTTAGTTAGAATTAGGTCATCTCATTTGGAAACAATCTTAGTTAATGCTATCTCATATAATGGTTGAAGAAAATTATCTGGGAACATCCTTAATTCACTTTATATTATTAGTTAGGTTTGAATTTTCTTTAAGTAGACAAATCACTTTTGATCTTATTTATTGTGACTTTTCTTCTTGGCATTAGCTGTTCTCAGCACTGATAAAATAATAGACAATCTCAAATGGAATATTGGGATCCAGATCTTCAAACAGATAAAAATCAGAATTTTTTCCTTGCATTATAGTTCAATAAATATCCCTCCTTGATCCATTCCCAAATACTTTAAAATTTTTCACCTTGGTTCTAGGTTCTAAGTTACCTATTAGGGTGACAAACGGCAAATATATCAACATCACCTATGAAAAGTATATCTGTATATCTACCAATACAGCAGTTGAGTCTAGATGATAGGTAGCACTTATAACATGAAATCTTAGAAATTCTAATTGTTCTTCTGAGTAGGTCATGATTTTCCTTCCAGGACACCAAACTTCAGCCAGATTGGAGTTTCCTTGATTATAGTTTTAAGTGAATGGGGTTCAATCTGTTCTAGCAGATTTCCTCTGTTGGCAAGGAATTACTTTACTATGAAAGAATAATTTTGAGATCATCTATCAAACTAATTCCATTTTCAAAAACTTTGTCACATAAATGCCTGGTTCATGCACAACAATATGCCATAATGTGGTTCGCATGTGTGCATCTTCACATTATGGCTTATATAACAAGCCATTGTTAAAACATCTTCAGTTTTTTTTTGCCAGAACAGTTTTTGTGTAAATTTAGTCAGCCAGTAAGTTTTTCTATAAAACCTAGTTTGTATGCATATCTTAGGCACT